AGGTGAGGTGAGGTGAGGTGAGGTGAGGTGAGGTGAGGTGAGGTGAGTGAGAGTGACAGTGAACGTGTGAAAGTGTGAAAGTGTGAAAGTGTGTGAGTGTGTGAGTGTGTGAGTGTGTGAGTGTGTGAGTGTGTGAGTGAGAGTGTTGGGAGTGAGAATGTCCGAGTGAGAGAGTGAGACAGTGAGAGCGAGAGCAAGAGTGAGAGCGGAGTGGAGTGAGTGGAGTGAGTGGAGTTGGAATGAGTTGATTTGGTGTGAGATGAGTTGGTGTGGGTAGAGATGCGGAGGGGAGGAGAGGAGGAAAGGCAAAGGCGGACGGGATGCACAGTAAAAGTAAGGATCCCTTACAAAGATGCGGGGAACATTCGTAGCGAAATGTTGCTGTTCAAAAGTCGTACCATGCAAATCTTATCGTTTGAGGTCATGCTGAAGCACAATCATCATCTTGCAAACACTGGCTGGCGCACCAAGGGCCAAATTTGGCCGAATGTGGACAGCATTATTGAGCCTCAGATCCAGAGTGAGCTTTTCAGGGGCAAGAGTTGCCAACCCCAAAGATTCCGTTCAACGTTGCCCAAAACAGCTTCAACACTCAGCTTTCAACAGGCCAGGCATGGCGCGGGGTGCCTGCCAGGCCTGCCTAAACGCAGCGTTTGAATGGATTTTCTCGGTTTCTTGGTGTGGGAAGCCCAGGCCTCGTTGGAGGGGCGCCCCTTCTGAAGGGGGGCCTCGGGATGCTGCGACCCTCGATCGGTATGACTCTTCAGGAGGTGTGGGGCTTCTCGACCCCACAACTAACTGGCGGAGTTGTTGAATGTTCATCCTCATCCATACGTACTACACGTACTACTATATTGAGATGAATTTAGTACCAATGCATGCATCACTCCGTCCAGCGCGATGAAATGACTCGTATCAACGACCGCTGAACCAAGGAGCCAGAGCGATGGGATGCCGGGACAGGCAGGGCTTGCGCCCGCCCCGAAACACCCGGCTGTTTGAGCCCAACAGAGCAGCATGTGTCTTCACAACGACTTCCTACTGGATTCACCTGGTCTGAGACTATGCCAAAGGCCAGTAGACTCGCAAAGGCCAGGAAGAGTGTTGAAATCCCAGCAGAACCTCGTTTGCTTTTGTTGTGCCCGCTTGCAGTGGTGGCATGATGGTACCACTCAAATCCGGAGTGGCCCAGGATCCCGACGAACCCCCCTGGACAGTAATGTACAAACAGAAACATCGTATGTGCCTGGCCAGAAGCTTGTGCTGGCTTACCAAATCAACATGGAGCCCCTCTTTGTGAGCCCCAAGTCGCATTAACATTGAGTCCTTAAATTGAAAAGAGCTATCAAGCCAATCATTGCAACTGGATGGAGTGTTCTCATTCCTGCACGGCCTTCAGAATGCTGTGCATCAAAAGAACCCCCCTAATCATAACTCCCACATGCAAGCCAATGCATTCCTTCAGGTCCAGAGCCACAGCTCTCATTTTGTAGCGGTCTCAGCTCCGCACCGATTGTGAAGGGATAGAACAAATCCGGTGGAAGCGACAAGGGCAACTGAGGTCTTGGTGGCACCTCCGTCGCGGTCTCGGTCGCAAAGACCGAGTCCTGAGCGTCACGACGTCGGCGCCTGGATCTCCAAGTTCTCGGAGTCCGTCTTGAAGAATCTCACCTGGGGCGCAGAACCCGCAGAACCCGCAGGGGGCACCTGGTGTCCATGGCCCATGCGCACTTCGGAGAATCAAACATGCAATTGAAATGGGTAGGTTGATGGCTGGAACCAATGGTGCTTGATTCGATTGAATGCTATTGAATGCACCATGAACGGCGGCGCTTGGGGCCCGCGCGCTGTAAGTAAACTGGAAGCCTTGCCTGCGGCACGGCTGTGCGGGACTCTGCGGCACTGTGGATGATTGGCTCTCAAAAGCATTCGGGGCAGCGAGCGAATGACGCTGTGCAGCCCACATGATGTTTGATGCTGTGCATTTGAGTAGACAACGCGAAGAAAAGGCATAAGTAGACCACCCGATCTGGGCGGGATTGCAAGACTGCACCCAAAGCCCAACCCTGTGTGTTTCTAAACTTCACATGGTATTCCGCAGCAGCATGTTCATGCTTGTTGATGTGTATCATCTCTCGCCGACTGCCTCTTTGTCGGTTCTGCCAACGTATAGGCCAACACTCCAAGCCTCAAAAGCCCCATTGGCCTCCAACTAGTTAAGTTTTCCCTAAAAATCTAGGAACCAAATCATTAGTGCGAGCGCTAATGAAGCTTCCCCCGCCGCCTTTAGGGCGGTGGGGGGAGATTCCTTGAAGAAGCGTGAGCTATCCTGCGTCCAGTAGGTAGTAGCTACCTAGCTACTACTACCTAGCTTCTACTAGCTACCTCCTAGCCGCCTACCCCCCCTTTAAAAAGACTCAGTCTCAAGCCGCTGGGAAATCTGAGCACCCACCACCTTCATTTGAGGGTTGCCCACCTCTCCAAACGGTGAGTAGATTACCTGCAAATGCGACAAACAGCGAAACAGGATCCTTCAGCTTTCTGCGATCACAAGCTGTTTTGAAAGGACGCACGCCCAAAGAAACAGCCATACCAACAAGTGGCTGTGCTTACTTCCCCCAACTACGTACTGCGGACATGCTGTCGATGGACCTGGGAAACCTGTTGTCGCTGAGTAACTCATGTTTGATTGACAACTACGTTGCCTTTATTCTACCAGCAGTTGCTTGGTGGTGAGACCCTTCGCCTCAAGGTCTACACCAACCACGGCACCAGTGCAGGTGGAATTGGAAGCCTCAACAAAACTGCGACGCAGGGGGGCCATGGTGGACCACCCATCGACTGGAGTGCTCATGGCTTTCGCCTTCTGCGACGCAGAAGAATCGCTGAACTCAAGCGCTTCACTCCTGAGGAGACAGGATATGACAGGATGCCAATTTTAGGACCAGGGCAAGAACAAGCAGCTGGATCTACACGGCAACCTTTTGCACTTGCCACAAGCTGTACACAAAGATCCATGATTTAAAGTCAGGAACAAACCAAGTGGCAAAGCTGGCCACGACTCGGTCGAGCAGGTGTGGCTATCAGCTACAGCTAATGTTCTCTCGAAAAGTCAAACTAACGAAACCGAGCTCAGTCGTGCAGCATGAGACCTCGACACAAACATCAGCCACTGATTTGATGTGATGTTACTCCTCGTCTCCCTCCCACGTCCAGTTTTCTCCGCAAAGGCATATGATGTGATTGCAACCCTCAGTCCTCACAGTTGCAACGTTACAAGATGGGCAAAACTGCACACCCGTCTCCGGCATCTGTTCGGCCAAGATTTCTTCACATGTCGTACCTTCATGGTGAGTATGGACCTTGCATCTGAAGCAATGCTCAGTGTCACAGCAGGAAGTCTGTGTCTTGGGGAAACGCTTGAGCATGGCCAATTGCAAGACTGCACGGAGCCCAGCATCCTCAACCAAACGCATGGCTGTGGCGAACTCAGCAGCAAAGCTGGGAGTCCCCTCCGTCTCGGAAACCTCGTCCCTACCGGCGCCCCAAAGATCCAACAGCGCAGCCACCAAGTCAGGAGCGCTCATGGCGCCCTTCTCAAACAAGTACCATTTCTCAACTAAAGCACAAGCCACATCTGCCGAACCTTCTCCTAGGAGGCTCCTTGCAAGTTTCTGTCGTGCCGACTCGTCAGCTTCTTCGCGGGGTTGCAACAGAGTGCCAGGTTCATCGCAATCTCCACAGCGGATCGAAAGGAGATCTGCCGCATTGTTATTCCACTGAGATCTCAACTCATCCTTTGAAAAACGCTGCCAGCAAGAAGGTGGCACAAATCCGAAGCAGCTGGGGCACCGAATATGCGGAACAGAAAAGCGAGTGTCTTCAATAACGGTAGTAACATGCTTCTCAAGACAGGGAGCACAGAACCATCCTCTACACTGCCGTTCCCTGCAAAGTCCCGCAGCGCTCTGGAGGCACTGAGTGACTTCCAAACAAATGGCACACCTTTCTGTGCAGTTCGATTCATCTAAGTAGTGATTGTTGTTGAGGCCAAACTGCGCAATGGTGTTCATCGATTTTCTGGCTTCCCGTTCCCCAACCTTGCGATAGCAACAGGCCAGGACTGCTGCTGCAAGTTTTGCCGAGGACTGCAGTGGCTCAGTGTTAGTGTTGCGGAAAGACTTTTGCGTTGCAAGGTGTTCGGGATCAGAAGATGAAGGCATTCCCCGCATCATGCCTGGTACTTCTTTGATGAAGACATCGCCCATGATCTTCTCGCTTCTGAAACGCTGCAGTACAGGAGCCCGTAGCTTGGCTTCTAAACCGTCATGTGCCCAAGAACGGGATCTCTGCAAAGTTGGAGCTTCATTCACGTCTGTGTTGTCCTTCGGAGGTTCCTTCAGTTTCTCCTGAGCCATTCTGAACATCACATGACCGCCTTGGTTGCGGGCAAAGGCACACAAGTGGTTCGCGCTCTCTGGTCTTCGGTGGTACTTGTCCACGTAGGCTGAAAGCCACTCGTGAAAGGTCCAATCTTCTCTGGACGTCATCCTAATCGTGCTACTGATGGCACATCCTACTACTTGAACCATCAAAGTGCAATAAAATGCGGTTGGAGCGTGGAGCATGCAAAAGCACCCACAGCTGAATATCTGACATAGTGGAGGCAAGCTCGATAGTGAAATGTCGGCTCAGCATGTCCTTGGTCTTTCCTCCACCTGCAAAGCATGTGAACAAGGTCTCTTCAGTTTCGTGGGACAATGTATATAGAACCGCTGATGCCAGCTAAAAACATTGTCTTGTCACCCAACTGTAGGCGCCGGACGAAAACAGCATTACCCTTAAATATTAATAGTCTTGCCTTGCTACAACGAACCAACCGTGCTTTCCTCCTGAACCAACCGTTCGTCGTTCGTCGTCGTTCGTTTCTCCACCGCCTTCACCCAGTCCGCAGCATCTTGAGCATCCAAAGGCACATTGCCAAAGGCTGCGATGCGTGTCCAACGTGCCACGTTTCGTGCCACGTTGTTTCCAACGGCACCTGGTCTGATTTAACGAGTCGAAGAAGTGGACCGTGAAAAGCCACGAGTCGAAGATCCGTTGGATCTGCCGATGGATTCGAAATCACCGATTGGAACTGCCTCTCATCCTCTCATTGGACATCTGTTGACCAAGCTGAAAATTCTATCCCTCAGCTCCCAACTTCCAATCGGCAGAAGATTCAAGTAGCCTCCACGAAACTTGCAAATCGAGATTGGGTGGACACTTCTCATGCAACCAGTCGAAAAATCTCGCCCCTGGGGCTACCACCTGCAAAGCCATTTGGTAGTGAGTCACCTGCGGCTTCTCAAGCTGAGTCTCTCACTCACAAAACAGCAGCAAATCTTCTTCGGAGGATGCTGGAAGTTTCCTAATCTATCATGGTTCTTCCAACCAATGCTCTTCCTGTCTCTGCCGTATCCCTCATGCATCATTCTATGCAAGGCTGGCCATGCTCTTTTGGGCTCTTGCAACAGCGAATCGTGAGTGAGAGATCGGTCGGTGGCTCCCTTTTTCTTACAGTCTGTCGATTGAAGCTAACTTCCTTTGCTACTAGGAGCAAAGGGCATCGCTACTAGGAACAAGGACGCTACTAGTAGCTCCTGGCCTTACTACTAGTAACAAGAAGCAAGCGAGTAACAAGAAGCTACTATATAGGAGCTCCTGGCCTTACTACTAGGAGCAAGAGGTTATTATACAGGTTCTAACAAAAAGCATCAAAAACCTGGATGTGCTTGGCCAATGCATGGCATACCGGCATACCATGTATCGTCTTTGAGCCACTTGAATCCGGAGCCTTTGCAGAGTGATGCCAGCTCTTGGCGTGTAAGTGGCAAAGTGCATCCTTGGCAAACCAAGAGCAAAGACATCTATAGACACTGCTAGAGATATTTTCGACTTTGCCACAAAAAACATCTCCAAAGTTTGAGATACCCATTTGATGCAGATTCTTGACCTCTTCGCAC